GTCAGCACGCGGATGGTTAACAAGCTCACGTGGCGTGATGAGTTCCTGTCCATCTGGACGGACCGGAGGGCCAAGCACAAACCCCCGTAGACACCTACGAGGGGCGGCTCTCTCACTGTGTGTAATTGCCCCCCTCTTGCAACAGTTACGACTGTGGCCCCTTTTGCTGTATCCATGATATAGTAAAAAGCTTTCTAAAAAAAAAAAAAAAAAAACATTCTCTTTAGCTGGTCGTTGTCAGGCCCCCAGATTCACTTTTAGAGGCCCTGATCGATCAGGGTCACCCTGTGCTCAAAGGCTGATTGCCAGTGTTACAAAAAAAAAAGCATGAAAAATCAGTGTCACATTTTTTTAAAGGCTGATGGATCATTGTCCCTAAACTTAAAAGCCTGTTATTGCCAGGGCATCACCCTCGCCACGGCTGGCTGCCTCTTGGTACACTAGGCAGGAAAGGAGGGAAACCCCTTTCGGATGGAAAGCATGGAGCAGAAGGGGACCCTGGATGGCAGAAACGGTGGCTGGGCGGCGTGGATGCATCCCATCATGGGAGCATCAGTGCTTGCCAGCACGACCAAGACAAACCGCGCCACAGGTGCAAGCAACGGTGCAGGAACCCTCGCAGCCTGCGAGCACCACTGTGTAGCAACCTTCTTATTGGTCAACCCTTATGATGCAGCAAAACTGGCCAATGAACTGACAAGCCGCGCCAACAAAGCAGCCCTCAAAGTGAATTTGAGGGCGAATTTGTCTGGTAGTCCCTGTTAGAATATGGAAACAGGAATGTTGACTAAAGCAGGATGAGTGGTACAAGTAGCAACCCTAACAAAGGGTTGTACCCCATAGGGAGTTACCCACTACAGCCTAACATTACTAACATGTTATAAACATGTTTTGACAGTCCCCGCCAGGCGGTGCTGACACCGCGGGAATCTGAGATTCTCTGTGTGTCTGGGCAAATCCAAGCGGAACTTGTAAGAATCGCATTCTATGTTAGTTTCGTTACAACGATGTGGAATCAGTGTACCTTGGAAAAAAAAGCCTGAAAATTCAGTGTTACCTATGAAAATAAGGCTGAAAAATCAGTGTCACTAAAATCTGAACTCTGAAAAATCAGTGTAGGTACACAAAAGTAGGCTGATAATCAGGAATTCCAGGAAAAAAACCCTGATATCATAGGGCCTGGTCGTTGTGCTTATACGATGACAAAATGATATAATATTCGGCTTCTGCAAAAGTACTTCCATAACATCATGAAAAATGCTTGTGTACATTAATTAATACCTAATTTGTATTATAGAAAATAAACGTAATATAAAAAATAACAAATAAGAACTATACTTTTCGCCTGAAAAAAAGCAGTATATTTGTTATTATTCTGCAGAGTTACGTCAAATTATTATTGTATTTGTAAAACAAATATAGTTTTGGTAGAATTTTATGAGTGATTTAGGTAAAAATGGGTGGGGGGGGCTTATCCATATAAAGCTGTTTATTCTAAGTTAGACATCAGTGTTGGTAATTTGGATTGGCATAACATGGTGCCGATTGCGATTATATGCTGTTCGTTTATAACAGATCCTTCTCCCTGCCCTTCACAATCCGGCCCCGAGCATGAATGAATTCAGCACATTCTGCCTGCATTCACATTCAAAGCTCTGTCCTGCCAACATGTCTCCCACCCAGTGGCACCTATGGCTGCATCGTCGCTCTTGTTTCCCTTTTGTTCTTCTCCTTGGCCTCCTCGTTTCCATCATTCTCCTATTCCCCCTAGCCTCTGCCAGTACTCCGCGTCCTCCGCCGCCGGCGGCGCACGACAGCCCATTCAAGGTCTGCATCGTGGGCGCCGGGATTGGCGGCGCCTCGGCCGCGTTTTTTCTCCGCAATGTCTCCCGCGCTCTTGAATCTGCCGTTCAGCCTTCTTTTCCCGAGATGGACATTCACGTGTTTGAGCGCGCGGGGAGGGTGGGCGGGCGGACGCTGCTGTTGAAGGTGCCGTTGGGGGAGCAGGCGGAGGGTGATGTGGTGAAGGTGGAAGCTGGTGCGAGCATTATCCACGGGAAGAACCTGCACCTGGTGCGACTGGCGGAGCAGCTGCGGCTGGAGACTGCGTCTCCCGCTGACATGGACTTTGGCATCTGGGCCGGCCAGTGCCCCAGCAGCAGCGGCGGCGGCGGCGGCTCTAACAGCGGGGCCAGCGGGTGCAGCGGGGGAGGGTTCGTGTTCCAGGAGTGGAGGCTGGGCGAGGGGGCGGTGATGAGCTGGTTGGCGGACTTGGTGAATGGCGCACGCATGGCAGTGCGCTACACACTAGCAGGGCTGATAGCCATGCGCGCGTTCGTGGGGGACATGCTAGCGCGGTGGATGCGCCTGTACGATGAGCGCAGGGAGGGCGGAGAGGCGTTTGAGACGCCTGAGGAGCTGCTGCGGTCGCTGGGACTGCTGGAGCTGACTAGTGTGACGCTGAGTGATGCTCTGCTGGAGAAGGGGCTGCCTGCCGTGCTCGTTAACGAGCTTGTCACGGTGATTGCTGCGTGGTGTTGAGAGGGATGGGAGGGGGTGGGATGGGATGGGATGGGATGGGGTGGGGTGGGGTGGGGTGGGGTGGGGTGGGGTGGGGTGGGGTGGGATGGGGTGGGGTGGGGTGGGATGGAATGGCCCGCAAAACGGAATGGCATGGCGTGATGTGCTGCGATAAGAGTCTTCACCATGGACTCACCTCCGCCCTCCCTCCCTTCTTCCCTGCCTCGCACCACACTGTGCAATCACACACCAGATGATCACTCGCGTGCAGTACGGGCAGAACGCAACAATTTCAGGGCTGCCCGGAGCAGTGGGGCTGTGCGGGACGGGCAGCGAACTGTGGAAAGTGCGCGGAGGCAACTGGCAGCTGGCTCAGGGCGCAATCCGCCTGGCAAACGCATCGCTGCACCTGCACTCGCGCGTTGCTCGCATTGCACAGCACACGGAAAGCGCAGGGGGTGGTTATGTGCTTCATATGCAGGCAAAGGAAGGCAAGCAGGGCAAGGCAGCTGGAGGGGAGCGTAGAGGTGAAGGAGGAGGTGATGGTGCTGGCGGCAGTGGTGCTTCTGATGGTGCTGATGGTGCTGATGGTGCTGGTGGTGATGAGGGGGTGCGCTGTGATGCTGTGATCATCGCAACCCCAATGGAGCAGAACGGTATTGCCATTCACCCCGCGCCGGCAGTCCTGCCTCTGCGCACATACCAGCACACACACGTGACGTTTGTGCGCGCCACACTCAAGCATGTAAGAGGAAGAGATAGATGATCCGCCTCCAGTGTCTCTCGCCTTTCTCCGCTCCCTTGGGCTCCCCCCAGCATTTATGCCTCAATCCCCTCCCTGAAACCTTCTTTGCTCCCAATGCTGCTGTCTTTTTCCCTGCCAGACCTACTTCGGAGCAGCAGACGCACCGTCTCTTCCAGGGCTGATAGGGACGTTGGAGAACGAGGGTATTCCCTTCAGCAGCATCAGCCGAGTGGCTCCCTGGGCGGCGGATGGCAGCAGTGTGTTCAAGGTCTTCTCACGGCAGCACCTTCCCGATGCCACCCTCGACGTGCTCTTTAGGTATGAAATCCGCTTGTACTGAGGCGATCTTTCACGCACCTCAAAAGTATGTTCAAGGTCTTCTCATGGCAGCACCTTCCTGACGACACCCTCGACTCGACGTGCTCTTGAGGTCAGCTCCCAATGCTCTCTTGCTATTCTCTCAAAGCTACCGGTGCACGAACAGAGTCAGACACGGTCAGTGGCACAGGTGCATGGCGCAGGGCACAGGGCACAACGCACAGGGCGTTCAGGGTTGTCCAATCGTTCCAGGGTTTAGGGTCCTGCTGTTTCCTCACACCGTGCATGGCACTTACCTTTCTTTCCTCTGCCCACTGCTCGCTGCTCCTCCTCTTCCCCAACCTCCTCACCCTCCCACCGGCAACATGCATTGGATTCCAGGAACCGCTCGTTCACGAGGAGCATTGACTGGCCTGCATACCCGCACTATGCGCCGCCCGATGCCTTTGCACCCTTCCTGCTGGACGCTCACCATCTGTACTACACGAGCACGTTCGAGAGTGCTGCCAGCGCCCTTGAAACTGCTGCTGTGGCTGCGAAAAACGTTGCTCACCTGCTGTTGACCCGGCTGCAGAAGCAGCAGCAGAAGCAGGAGTTGCCGCTTGGAAGGGGTGGGAGTGGTTATGTGGAGTCTATGGGCCTGGCTTCACCTGTGGAAGGTGCGGACAGGATGAAGGACGAGCTTTAATATGCACACAACGTGCGTTGTTCAGTTAGCATTCATTGCATTCGGTCCGTGTGCGCACTGTCAGACCTGTACCTTCCATGTACTCCACCCACCACCCGTGTTTCAATCCCATGCTTATTCTGGGTGTTTGTTTCGTTCCCCTGCCTCGGTTGCTGTTACTGTAAATGGAAGTACAGACGGTGGTGATAGGTATTGCGAGAGTTTTCTGCATTTGTCCGTTTGTAAATGACAATGACATTGATCAACACTGATGCCTGCACTAGCTGTCAGGATTTCTGGGACTAGCACATACAGGTGTACCGTGAGCATAGGTTTTAATTTCAACAGGAACCGAAATCCGCGTCGTACCATTTGTGCTGTTAAATCCTAGTGCGAATTGTAACTCGATGTGAGTGAATGGTGGCGTGACTCAATAGTGAAAAGGCTGTATACACAATCAAACTCGTATCCCTGCAGTGAGCCTTCATCACACCGTAAGAGCGGAAGCCAATCATAAGCCTGATAGACGCATACAACAGGGCGACGGCAAATTCTCAACATACGGTAGGAATGGCATGCTAGAAACCCCCGACACCAAACATCTCTCTCTCCGTGTGTGGGTTTCATGTAGCTACCACTCGTCTCTTTATTCCACTGGCTATTCAGCTGTTCCTTGCAGTGCAGTGGGGTAGCCCTCATTCGGCAAGGCTCAACCAGTTGCCTTGTCGTCGCTGCACATGCACTGCCCACCTACAAGCCTCCCTCGTCCTCACCCTGCTCTCGCCGTGCTGACCACCACGCTCTCCCTTTCGAGCACTGCTGTAACCTGGGCCCACCCACACTATGGCCACGTGCACCTGCCTGCATCCCTGGCTCTGATGCTGCTGCCGCCGCTGCTGCTGATGGGGTCTTGCGCCTTGGGCCTGGTGCGCCCCCCCCGCGTGCCGTAGCGCGTGGAATGGAGTAAGCGTTGGGGTGGTGTTGGTTGGCAGTGAGAGGAGTGTTGGGGGGAACTCCAGGTGAAGGGGTGGATGAGAAGGGGGGCTCAGTGGGCGTGTCAGAGTTTATGGTTGAGAGGCCTAGCTGATGCAACACTATTGCTTCCATGTCACAGTCTGCAGGTGGCACACACACAAGAGCACACATGAGCACACATATGAGCACATAAGCGAGCACACATGAACTGTATGGGAGCATACACACACGCACACATGTGAGGATACACGCCAGGGAGAGGTTGTGAACGAGTGCTGCAACAAGTGCAAGGAATGGTCTTGATACAGCCAATGGAAGGTGTGCAAACAAGGCCAGACCAACATGGACGAGGGCGAGAGGGCAGGGCATGAGGGCTTACAGGCAGCAGCAGGGTCGTCAGGGAAGGCAGCGTTGGTGTGGGCATGAGAGGGGAAGAGGCGTGAGGTGGACATGGAGGCATCCATGGCTGTGACTGCCACCACTGCGTCCTGGCGCAGCACTGTCGTGCGGTACATGAGCCTCGCATGCGCTGGTGGGGTGGACCAGGACGAATCCATAGCCGACAAGTGGCGTGAAACGACAACACGAGGGAGACAGGGAGAGAAAGTGGGAGCGGGGCAGGGGTGGGAGAGGGGAAGAGCGGGGATGGAAGGTGGGGGTTTGAGGAGGGAGCGAGGAGAAAAATGCGAACATACAGAAAAGGAAGATGGAGACCGAGGGAGTTTAGAGGGGTCACCTTGTGCTATGCGGATGCAGCTTTCGAGCATGCGGAGGGTTGTGCGTGCTGCCAGGGAACCAAGCCACGCACATGTGGGTAGGGGACACAAAGAGCCGGGGCCAGTGAAGTTTGCAGCGGCAATCAACAAACGTGGGGGTAGCATGTGGTGCAGTGGTGATGAGTAGTGGATAGTTGCAAGACACTCCCATCGCAACCCCTCTTTACTTTGGCAAAATCTCCTCTCCCTTTCTTCTATTTCCTTCTCGCATCTCGCCTCAACAGCTCCATCCCCACCTACCCCATCCCCCTCCCCTCCCCTCCCCCTCCCCTCTCATCACTGCACGTCTGCCTCTCAGTGGTCAAAGCCATCCATTCATCCATCCATCCCTCCATCCACTGTGTACCTGCGTTGTCCTCTGCGTCGCGCCGCTGCTGGCGGTAGTAGGCACTGATGACAGCCTGTGCCTCCTCTGATACCATGGGGGAGAACGACTGGCGCACACGCCGGATGTAGCTGGGGGGAAGGGGAGTACCGGACCAGGGATGAAGTGTGAGGTTGAGATTAATTGGGGAATGGATGGGGGTAGCAGCATTGAAACGGCAGAGCGGGTTGATGGGAGAGGATTGAGGAGCAAAGATTATGGTTAGGTGAAGCAAGAGGGTGGATGTGCGGAGGCACTGGTGAAGGTCAGGGGAGGAGACATGATGCATGGCCACTCTTGTGTGGCCACTCGAGAGTGTAGGTATGATAGGAGGAGATAAGACCACTCGAGTGATAGGAGGAGGGCAGAAGCTGTGAGAAAGAGAGACGGTTGGGGAGGGGCTAAGTGGGTGAAGTATTGAAGTATTCAATTAATGAAGAGATAGGGCGGGTGGACGGACCTGCGAAGCTTTTGAATTGACCAGAGGTCGGTGGGTGGAGTCAAGGAGAAAATTGTGTGCTGTGGTGGGGAAGGAGAGGGAGAGAAAGAGAAACGGGATGGAAGATGGAGAAGCAACGGTGATGAGGAGAAAACTGTGCAGCGCAATGCAAGCAAGAATGGAAGCGGACAAAGAGAGTGAGAAAGAGCGGAGCAGTGGGTCATGGAAAGTTAGTGATTGGCGGATGGGACTGGGACGGCAGGTGAGTTGTGGTGTGCGGAGTGCAGATTGGAGAGTGGAGTGTGGAGAGGGAAGGGTGGAGAGTGCAGCATGAAGCATACCTCGGCAAGGATGTGTTGGGCCACGCGCTCGTCCCACGAGGCCTCGGAGGTGTCTGGAAGCAGCAGCACAAGGTCAAAGCGGCTCAGCAGGGGGCTGGCAATCCCTGTGTTCACCACCAGAGCTGCAGGGAAAGCAAGGGAGACAGGGGGGCACATGGAGCAGGGAGGTAGGAAGGTACTGGGTAAGGAAAGTGCGAGGAAGGGTAATGCGGGGCTGTGAGTGAAGGAGAGGAGGTGGGAAAGGCAGAATAGGGTGGATGGGTGTGGGTGGGTTGGGACAGGGAAATAAACAACGGAGTGAACTGAGCACTGTGCCCTGGCTGTTCACTGGGATTCTGTTTGAGATTAGTTATATCAAAGCTATGGGGATACGAGCGACTGTCGCTGTGATTGAGTGTGCCAACAGAGAGAAGAAGAACGCACAAGTGTCAGCGTCGTATGCACCCTTGGGATTCGTTACTGCGAAGACACTGCAACGGGAAGGTAGAGTGGTGACTATGCCAGCCTGTCAGGTGCAGAAATGGGAGCGGGGGAGGAAGAAGAGGAGGGGTCGGGTGGGGGCGCCTCAACTGTAATTTCCTGGACATGCATACGTGGGCGCGAGCAAGTGTAAGAAATAGACGAAGAGAGAGGAGGAGGGGCGGACCTTAGCAATGCTTATTGTCTGTTGCTCCATGGCTTCATGTACTGCTGCTTGGTCGTCCTTCTGAATGCTGCACCACACACATGCACACATACACACACGCATGTGCCATGCAGGAATGACACGAGACAGAGCAGCAGCAGGACATGAAATGATGAGGAGGAATGGTAGAGAGAGGACATTCAGAGGGTGTGGGGTTGGTAGCATAGCATGGCTGCAAAGACCCAAACTGAGAAAAAGTGCAGCAGAAGGGGAGAGTGTGAGAGAGAGTGCGCGAGGGAGAAGGAGGGAGAATGTGAAGGAGAGAGTGCGCAGGAGAACAAGGGAGGGTGTGAAGGAGAGAGTGAGGGAAGGCACGACCTGCTGAATTCATCGATGCAGCAGAGACCCCCATCTGCTAGCACAAGGGCCCCTGGCTCCAGCATCCACTGACCTACACAGCACCACGCCAGCGGGAAAGGCAGCAAACGAGGAGGACAAGGGGGTTGGGAGGGAGCGGGGGGGGGGGGTGGGGGGGGAATAGAGGAAGGAGAAGGAATGGTAGGAATGGTTCTCAGGTCTAAACCACTTCCCAACCTGTTCCACCACTGGGCACCTTCCGGCCCAAGAGTCAAGCCCAGCAATCCGCGGCCTCCCTGATCCATCCATGCATGCACACATGATTGAAGCGTGCCTCACCCTCACCTGCGTCCTTGACAGCAGTGACAGTGAGGCTTGCGGAGCTGCTTCACAGGCCAGTGGTGAGCAGCACAGCACAGCGCGATGGCTTTTGAGTCGACTCCAAAGTCACTTTGCTACAATGGCACACAACAGCGCCTCACCTGCGTCCTTGACAGCAGTGACAGTGAGGCCCGCGGAGCTGCTTCCCAGGCCAGTGGTGAGCACAGCACGATGGCACAGCCTGGATGCGTACTTGAGGAACTGAGACTTGCCTGTGCCTGCGATAGAGGTGAGGCATGGTGCAGGGGGTCGGGAGGAGAGGGGCGGAAAGGAGGGTAACAGAAAAGTGGTGCGAGAGGGGAGGGGATGGGGGAGGTGATTCTGAAGGCACAGAACCGCAGCATTTGAGCGCACACTGCACGCACGCAGCATTTCGCTAGAATCTCAATTCTGATGTGATATATGCAATGAGGTACCTGGGTCCCCAACGAGCAGCAAGTGCATCTCCCCACGCACACGGGTGCCTGAGGGGTCTGTGTGCGGCACTCCCCCTATCAGCATCAGCGCCACTGAGGGACGTGAGGAGGGAGGGTGATGAGCGAAGAGAAGGGAAGGACGGGGTAAGGAGGGGTACGGAGGAATCGCACGAATGAAAGTAGAGGAAACACAGGTTGTTGAATACTTGTCGAATCTCTCGTAAGGAGCCATATGGGAAACGATGGGGGAGAAGAACAGAACGAGGGGTGAGGGGGATGAGGGTGAGGTTGGGGGGACGAGTGGGGAGGCAGCGCAACTTTTATGAGAGCACACGCACCTGCAAGCTTGACAGCAGCAAGGCCGTACACCTGGGGGCAGATGCTACGCAGGATGATGTCTCTGCCTGGGAGATAGATACACGCACATGGACACGGGGGTGAAGGGCTCACTCAGGTTGTGCATGCATACACAATACAAAAAAACTGCGTATCCTGCTCACACACACACACACACAGACACACACACACACGCGCGCGCGCGCGCGCACGCGTGTGCGCGCACGCGCGCGCATACACCCCTCCTAAGCCCTCCTTTCCCCATTACCCCTACCCCACCTCCTTCCCCCCCATCCCCCCTTCTCCCCTCATGCCCACGAACATGCGCAGACCTGCAAGGGGATTGCTGGCATGGGCACACCAGAAATCCTCGAATTCCCCCTCGTCCTCCTCCCCCTGCTCCTCCAACTCCTGTGCATTGCTCCTGCTGCATACACAGCAGGGAAGCACAATACTCACATGGTGAATACGTACCTACTCTATGAAAATCCAGATACAATGACCGAATCCCAGAGAAGGGATGAGCAGGGAACAAGAGCTGCGGTCTCTCGTACCAGAGGTTGTTGGCGCACAGGATGGGCTCAAGCAGGCAACGAGCGCCAGGAGCAACAGAGCGCCAGCGACAAGCCATCACACCCACCACCACCACATCCTCTTGGTTGGTTGGATGCATCATGGGCATGCCACGAAAAAGTCAAGGGGAGGCAGAGAGGTTGAGGATTGGGTTTAGTGAGTGAGTGAATGACGCATGTTGATGAGCTAAGGAGGCAACAGCCTGACGGATGAGTTGTGCAAGCTAATGACATCCAAGGTACAGGAGAGGAGACAGAAGAGTGCATCCACGGCACACATCCTTGCAGAGCACCTGCATGGCACCTCACCGCCAGGCAGTACAGTGTCCACTAGGTCTTTGGACAGCACGACTCGCACGGAGCGGGGCAGGCGCCCTGCAGGCAGGTCGTGCACGTGCTCCTGTAGCTTCACCTCCTGGAAGTCCATGCATGCACCGCGCCCCACACCAGCTACGCCGCTGCTGTTGTTGTTGCTGCGCTGACTGTCAGCTGGCACAAACACACGCCCCTTGCACCGCTTGCGCCGCTGCAGCACCGTTCAAGTGATGGCAGAAGAGGGGAAGGGAATGTGTGTGCGTGGGGGAGGAAGAGGGGGGGTGGGGGAGATGGACGGAATGGGGCATAGGTGCAGATGGGGACTGGTGTTCCTAAAGGTAGGGGAATCCTCCAAACAGGGAAGTCGTTTCTGAGGCAACCATGACGCAGAGTTAATCATCTGCAGGTAGGTTGATTGTACACAGGCATGGTATGGAGTCCGCTTGCTTACCTTGCTGTCAACATACGGACAGGCAGATGGCACCTCCACTGCATAACCCTCCTCTGGTTCAGGGGAGCACGTAAATCTGAACGCAAGAGAAGGGCGGCAAAAGTGGAAAGCAAAAGCGCAGGGAAAGCATGGTGGCTTACACAAGTGACAGGGAGGTGGACAGCAAAGCTTCATGAAGTGACATGAGTGACACAAGACGATGAATATACGTCCGTCCGTCTTACGTTCTCTTGCATGTGGTGCAGGTGAATGCGCGCAGCCCTTCCAGCATCTGCACCGTCCCTGTGCGCACAACCGTGCCTGTGACTGTCAGCAGCTGCCCCTCGTGCCGCACTCGCAGAGCGCCAATGCCTGGGGACGCCTCTCCGCAAGCAAACGCGGATCCCAGCGTGTTCACGCGCACACATGCGTTCACTGCGTACTGCAGGTGCTGACGAGCTCGTTTGCCTCCGCTTCTACCGCCTGCTCCTTGTGCTGATGCGGTTGCTGCTGCTGCTGGTGATGATGATGGAGGGGCTGCACCACCAGCTGTCCTTGACTTTGACGCTTGAGCTGCTTCCTCCTCTTCCTGCTCAGCCTGCTTCGCCCATAGCTCCTCCTGAACCAGCGTTGGGCACGCAGATGCGCAGAAGGAATTAAGTAGAAACCCCGGTTAGAGCCACAATCAATGCGCCGACCATTCAGCGAATGTAACGCAACAACCGCTTTGAAGCGTCAGCCACATAAGATATCAAATGCCCGATAATGGGTCACGACCCCCAAAGACTGACCATGGCTCGAGCAAGAGCGAGGTCAAATAGGGGTAACAGGCGCCTGGCGTTGGCATGGAGCTCCAATGCCAGAGACGGGTTAGAATTCAAAAGCTCGGCGGACCTGATAAGGGACCACAAGGGGAGAAAGGTCAGAAGGAGGAGGAAATACAGGTAAGCAATGCGATTAAAGGAGCGGATTAAGGGAGCTGTGGGAGGAACATGTCAGGCGATTTCAGCAGGATTTTCGCTTCGTCGTTCGGCTTACTCGACGACGAGGGCGAAAGGACGTGCAGATGGTACGCGAGGAAGATCGCGAGTGTATGATTCCACAATGAACTCGTGAAAGGCCTCCTCGTAATCATCGTCCGATAGACCGTGCCAGCTTCGGATGGCCACTGAACACGCTGCATTTCCATTGTGACTCCCGTTGTTGGGATTGCTTCTCTGAGGGACCGCCATCCTGTGTCACGTTACAAACGTCACCTCAAATGAAGAGGCTCTACTAACCGTATGGGTTCCATCGCAAGCTACGGACGTCGCTATGGGGCTGCGACGCTGGGACAGCCGCGTCACGACTCGCAGCTTGTGCAGGACCGATGGTGTTGGTCAGAGGGCATTAGTAGCATAGGAAAAAGAAAGCTGTTCTGCAAGGATCACTCACAAGCGTTCCAGGGATCACCCAAACATTTCTCAGGGTGTACGGCGAGCAAGGCAATCTGCGACATGAGCCGACTGCGTGTCCTAGAAGTTGGTTTGGATTGATTGCGGTTCAGGGAGTTTCACGGCAGTGTCTCACGAACATTTATGGGTTGGTTACGGTATTCAGTGAAAATGAACTTCGGACTCTGCTGATGTGCCCATGTACGGCACAGGGAATTGGTTGGTTTCTTTCCCGCCAAGATTCTTGTCTCAAATTTCTTTTGATATCTGCAAAAGGAACGCCAATGTCAATGCTCACTATACACGTACACAATTTATCTCCTTATTCGCATTGAAAGGCGATATCTCAGGAATGCTTATAATGGAACTGGCACCTCAGAAGAGTCTACGTCATGGACATGAGCTCACTGCTATTCGCTCGTGCTGCAGGGTTGACTACCAGCAGTCTCTGTACAAGCTTCATTGCTTTGGATGAGACCCCATCCCAGCACGTCTTTGTGTAATCCACATGTCCTCTCCGGATTCTTTTCCACAACAAAGAGGAGGATCCCGCAACAAATGGAAGCTGGCCGGTCAGCAAAACGTGAAGAATGACGCCACTGCTCCACATGTCTGACTCCTTGCTGCATGCAGCAGTTCCGCCTCTTATCACCTCCGGAGCTTGGAAGTACATGCTGTGCAAGCTCGTTGCCTCTCTATAGCACTCCGCCTTTCTAAAGCTTGTCAGAATGCTGACAGGCTGGGCCTGATCGAGGCAGAGCGCAGAGCCAAAGTCACAGAGCTTCACCAAGGGGATCTGCTCGTCTAGGCGCAGGCCTTTCATGCATCCTCCGGGAGCACTTGATGCAGCAGGTTGTGACAGAAGGATATTCTCTAATTTGATGTCGCAGTGCACGATGCCGCATGCATGGCACGAATGCACGGCTGACACCAGCTGCCAGAAGATACCAAGAGCAATAGCCTCAGGCAGAGCTTTAAAGTTCTCCATATCCTCCTCTTCCTCAATCACGTCCTCGTACTCATCACTTAAACTGATGGCGTCAGGAAATATCATCATGTCCTTGCGTCCCGCGCGAGCCTTCCGAGTGACGTCCACCCCACTAGCAGTGGAGGCAACGGAGTCCTCCAACGCGTGTCGGTGAAGCGCGGCGTGAAGCTCACCGCCGGAGCAGAGCTCGAGGAGCAAGTGCAAGGAGTACGCGTCGTCACACACCCCGTACAGCTGCACGATGTTCGGATGGCCTCTCAGTCGCAGCAGAGCCGCCACTTCCGTGTGCCATATTTTCACGCCGCTCACGCCTTCCGCCTGCCGTCGCAGCGCGCAGCGGCTCCGTCCCAGCCACCCGCCGCTGCACCGCAGCGCCTTGCTCTTGGCGATGCTCTTGCACGCGAACTCCGTGCGCGACTTCCTGTCCCAGCAGCGGCGCACCACCCCGTACCCGCCCACGCCCAGCACTTCGCGCACGGCGTAACGCTTGTAGAAGCCGCCGTTCATCATCGCCACTGGGAGGGTCGTTGTAGAAACCAACGCGCCCGCGCCCGCGCCAAGCGCTGCCTTGCCGATTATTATTGTGCGAATCATGATAGCGGGAGTGGAATCTGAGTCGTCGGATGACTCGACAATCCGACCATCGCTGCAGAAGCGGAGAGAGGTGACGCCTGTTCTGGGAGAGATGTTGGGACCAACCTGAGCATTGCCTGTGCTTTCACACACAAAGTCAGCAGCAGCCGTCGTTCTGTCCAGCACAGTACCGCTGTGGTTTATCCGAGGAAGAAGCATATTTCCGGGCGTAACAACAATGGGGCCTGCGGAAACGGGGTCATGAAACATTGATCTACTAGAGCCATCCGCTACTACTACTTCTACCACTCTGCGTGGGCTATCGCATGTGGTAGCTTCAAAACAAAAGGCCGCTCGCATTGTCTCGGATGGAAACAGACGATGAAATGCTATCGCATGATCCGGTGTGAGATAGTAATAACATCTTTTGTACTAATGGTGGGTAGATAGTAGTACTGCAGCTGGATGTTGTGAAAGTCTAACTCCGAAACTGCGAAGCGAAGCCCCCGCCAACTGGCAAGTCATCCAGACAGCAGCAGGCTAACAGCAGTGCGAGCTGTTGACAGTTTTAAGGCGTGCTGAACGGGAAAGGAAACGCGCCGCAACAGCACATCAAGCGCCAAATCAAAGAAGAAATCGAAATCTCGGTTAGGAGGCGAAAAATTGGGCGCAGAGGGAGGTAAATATCTGGTCTGGCCGTCTGTCCACAGTGTGGTGGTCAGGTCAGGAGGAGGACCCAGGAGTACAGCTGAGTCTTGCGTGTAGCCCCACCAGCTGTCCTTGTCTCCAGAGAGTCGATTTATAGAAACGAAACAGCACCACCGCTCGCATTTGATTCGAACATCCCCTCCACCAGCAACAGCAGGGAAGGCTACGCGATTCCGAACGTTTCTAGAACACGGTTGCGTCGACATGATGGACTTTCCGGTGGTAGGCCGAGTCTGTGGAGACCTGGATTTATAACCCACACTGTGCACACACTTCTAACGTCACCCGCGCTGGCAATCGCCGTTACTTTTCTCGTTTACAGCGGGAAGCGTGTCAAACAGTCTGGATGCAACCCCAGCAGTGGTTCCTAAACGACAGTCTGGAGCTGTAGACGGCAGCAGGTGGCCCCCTAGTCATCGAAGAAACAGGTGTGTGATGACTATACCCAAGATACTCGTTAGAGGATAGAATATGCTCCGTGAAAAATGTAACACATGGCGTTTTCGCATTAGGACGTTGTATTCATGCATACGTTCCAAAAAATATACTTATGCCATTTTGATGGAACATATATGATAAATTTACATCTTGTAGAAAACTGGCCCCCTGGACAAGAACAATAAATTAGTGGCCTTTTATTAACAATATATGGGTGGATGCCATCCGGGATGCCATGTACCGAATTACATATGTATTACACGGCATATCTTGTCCATGTGCAAGTGATAAACTATCGGATTGTCCCCTCCCGATATGGTGCTAGGAATGTCTAACGACATCATCCATCCATAGGCATTTGTTGAGAAGGCTTCTGGGGAACATATGTTTACATCGTTGCTGAATAACATTGGGGCGTAGAAAGTACTTGAATCAGCACCGGCGGCTTGGAAGGAGAAGGTCCTTAAAACTCTTACCGCGGAGGAAGTTTTCGGGGCCACTAAGCTGGTCAGAATAAACTCATACCGGCCCGACGAATTTCTCTACTACAAGCTGCTCTACACAGTCGACAACAAATTATACGGAAAAAAGAGTGACGGTAGATGCGGAAGGTGGTGTCAGAGAAGTGCGATATGCTCGCACGACGGAGGTGAATTTGGAGAAGGCGATGCCGATGGCCGAGATAGGTGGAAGCGTACGAGGGACACTGGGCGCGCCAAGAACAAGGTTGTTGCAATCACGACTCTGTGAAAAAGGGGAGTCAGCTGAGCTGCGTGGCCTAAGGAGGGCACTGAAACCCCAGCTCATGAAACCAAAACCGCAGCAGCAGTGGGAGGAAGATTGGGGGAAGCCCATCGATTGGAAAAAGGCCATTGAGGCAAGGGACTCGTTGGTGACGCCGGCCAGGGCAAGAGAAGTGGTGCTACGGGCACACAGTAAAAACTTGCAAGCGGGGGAACGTATGCCTTTTCCTGGGAGCAAGAGCCAACTGTATTCATTGCGGAGGGGTGGAGACCCTGGACCACTGTATTCTAGACTGCCCGAGAGTAAAACCGGTCGCGGAAGTGATTCAGAGGGCGCTTCATTTGATGAACCCATGCCGCCAGGGGGAGACGGTCGGTGACTTACTGTTCCAAGAAACATGCACACGCTCCGGGTTTAGGGTTTAGGGTCACACCAGATCTGGCTTACGAGGTGCAACGCGATATGGAGAGGGGTGAGATTCCAGCCCAAGAGGGTTTTGAGGAAGATCAACGTCCAATTCACACGACACGTTCGAATCTACAGCATGGCGAAGAAGAGACAGGCAAGACGGAAGAGCCACGGAAACAGAAAGGATTGGGAACACCTGGCAAAAGATGAGGCAGGGGTGCTGAGCAAACTCTACAGCGCGGAGGCATCATTAAGGTAAAGGGAAGGGTTCAAAGCTATCTGGGAGGACCCGCTCGTCTCCTTTCAACCACCATAGAGAGGCAACGGGAGGGTGCATCTATAAGTGTAGATAATACACCTCCCCACATGTCAGTTACGACTGAGGATGCTCTTGTATGCTACTCGCTATAGTGTAATATCATCAAAAAAAAAAACAAACAAACAAACATTGGGGCATAAAGCATCATCAGAGCATACTGTAGATGATGAAACCTATGCTGAGAGACATGGCAAGAATTTACCCTGCGGATGCCTTTTTGAAGGCCTCGGTGTGAAGCCTTATAGGAAATGTCCCGGGGTTGGCTTGGCTATACTGCTCATATTGTAGGAACAAGGTTGATGACAACACCGCTGGAAATGCCTGATGGGTACGACTACACTTATCGTGCGAATGCCTAATTGGTCCACGTCAAACCCCCTAGCTCTAACCCTCAGGTGGCACCCATTGTTCGAGCCTGTTTTAAGAATGCTTGAGTGAAACTTCTGCATAGAATTATTACAAGGAACTCCCACTACAAACCCATGGTAATAACTTTGGTAAATACATATATTAAAACCCTTCTTGGATCTTGTATTATGGTTCATGCTAGGCAGCCATGCTATTTCGTGCAGGCTCGTTCATGTGGGCTCGCTCATGCGAGCTCTGCCATGCAGGCTCGGCCATGCAGTCTCGGTCATGCGGGTTTGGTCATGCGGACTCGCTCATACGGGCTCGATCATGCGGGGCCCGCTCATGCGGGTTCGGTCATGCGGGCTCAATCATGCGGGCTCGCTCATGAGGGCTCGATCTTACGAGCTCTGCCATGCGGGCTCGGTCATGCGGGCTCGGTCATGCGGTCTCAGTCATGCGGGTTCGGTCATGCGAGCTCGCTCATGCGGGCTCGCTCATGCGTGCACGCTCATGCGGGCTTGCTCATGCGGGCTTGCTCATGCGGGCTCGCTCATGCGGGCTCGTTCATGCGGGCTCGCTCATGCGGGCTTGGCCATGCGGGCTCGGTCGTGCGGCAACTCCGGGCAGCCCTGGCTATCCGTATGGGCATTCGACAGAACGCACCTACTATTTGCGAGTGTGGCGAACTTGTGGCAGACTGCAGCCTACCCAACCATCCCCTCCACTGCAGCCTTGGCCCGGACAGGACGCACACCACCAGCTAGCATCTGGAGTGGCAAAGATCGTTAGGGAGGCGCTGCTGGTAGTATACCTAGAGAATGGCATGTACTCACCGCCGGACAACCCGGAGAAGGAAGATGTCATCCTACGCGACCCTGGCAGTGGGGAGACGTGGATCACTGATGCCACCAACACTGACCCCGTGCTGCAGAACTGAGACCCCACAGCCTGCAAGACTCCCGAATGGGCAGCATGGGAAGCATAGAGGCAAAAGGTAAGGGAATACTACAGGCACATCGAACACGTCGTGTTCTGCGCCCTGGCCGTCGAGACGTATGGGGCAAATGCGCCACCCACGACGACGTTCCTGAAGCTGCTAGCCACAGCAGCAGCAAGGAACCGCTGCAGGCCGAAATTTGCCGAGAAGGCTTGCAACTTCAACCAACGCTGGGCGCTAGCACTCCAGCGCTCCCAGGCAAACGTCCTGCACACCAAGGCCAGGGAATCGATTGAGGAGGCGCACCCCCAGATGCAGGCGGACCCATGGCCGCTGCTCGTGGGGGACGTCCTCCACACGCCGGAGGGGTAGAGGAACGCTAAGGGGGTGACGGGGGGGGGGGGAGGAAGGGGATTTAAGGCTGTTACTGGAAAAATCTCCATAATTGTACCATGCCTGAATCAAGACAAAGGACCGTCTGAGAGAGAGAGAGAGAGAGAGAGAGAGAGAGAGAGAGAGAGAGAGAGAGAGAGAGAGAGAGAGAGAGAGAGAGAGAGAGAGAGAGAAAGAGAGAGAGACTAGGAGCTAATCCTTAGTCTCCCAGCCTCTCCTAGCCTCTCTAGCCTATCCTAGGCCATTCCTCCTAGTATATAAGCCTATGCTGGGCTCCTTTCCCCTCATTATTCTCGTTTGAGTTCATTCCTTCTAAAAAACCGGAAACACACGAGAAAACTTGCGAGTACCCTCGAACAGGTTCTTCACCCGGGCTCGCGTTTTGGTGCATCAATTTTGCTATTCACACTAGACTGATTATAGTATGTGTCACGGTAGAAGAATGGAATTATTTGGTTGGTACGCTCTGGTTGGAGTAAGCACGAGCAGAGAACACTCTAGAGCACACAACTACACATTGATTCAGAATCACAGCAAGCCTTGGAACTCTGATTTACAGGATAGAAGTTGATCCACTTCAGGGCCTACCTTTGGATTTTTGGTACTCTGATTTCCAGAGTGGTTTTTTTGCCAACTCTGAAATCTAGGGTTGTTCCTACGCCTTACTCTGATGTGTCAGAGTAACCCTATGTTTTGGAAAAAAAAACCCAGTCACGTCAGAGT